CGGCAGCGCTGCCTGAGCCCCGGGAGGTGAGTGCGGGGCGTGTCGCATGGGATGCAGGGGGAGGAGGGAATCTGTTTTAGTTCGGGAAGGATTTTCTGAGTCCCATTTGGCAACCAGGGGCTGCCTTACTGCTTTTTTTTTATTCCCCAAAAGCAATAACATAGAGTAGAATTTAAATAATTACTACGATCCTGTCCAGTCATCACTATAATAATGTTTTATATGTTGCTTTACCTTTTCCTTAGGCTTTCTCACTATTCTTCCAATTATAATTGTCTGATAGCTAAAGGACAGAGTGTGGGGGGTTTTTCTTTTTTTGTTATTTTTATTTTATGAACCTATCAAAATGCTTGATAACTTTTTGCAGTCACTGTCTGTTTGAGACCCTCTACTAAATCACCTTTATCTCTTAACTTTTTACACAAATAAAGCTCTTGCAGCTTTTAGGAGGTTTCTTTTTTCAGTCTGCATGTTGATGGAAAAAGTTCAGAATTACATAATCTCGCAGCAGACCTACCTGATATATGACCCGAAAGTAAAGCCGTCTGTTGGTCTTTAATTTCAGACATCCTAATGCTTTCTTCTTGAAATCGCTAATTTCTTCTTTATGTCTTAAAGGAAAGATTCTTCATTATGAAAGCTGTCAGTGTTACGTGCTACAGCTAATATTGCTAATGTATGGTTTTTTATGTTTTTGCGTAAACAGATTTGTGAATTCTGGGGACCCAAGTCTAAAGCCAAAAAAGACCCCAAACCCCATGGATTAATCAGTTTTGAGAATAAGATCCCATCTGTTCTTCCCTGGCATGTAAATTTAATACTTTACCGGGTCAGCTTGAAAAAACAAGGTGCTGTAGCCAAGAGGATACTTCTGCAAAGCATTAACTTTTAGCACTGAATAAAGGTTAAGAACAACTCTGTTTAGTTGGATCATTTCTCCTGTATTTTTAGATTCTATTGAGGCAGCTTCCTCAAAGACCTGTCTCCTTTCCCTGGAGTACTACCGTTGTCCTAAAACACCCATTGCCCTTTTTTTTCAAAGCCAGATTAACTGTTTTGCTGATATTAATAACCATGAAAGTAGAGCAGCTATTTGTCTTTGCATGTTGGTGGGTGCTTTAGGTATAGTGGTAGACGATAGTTGACCATAAACTTACTTGTACCTAGCTTGCGGTAGTGTTTTGGGAACCACGTCTATCTTTCTTTACATGTAACTGGAAATAATTTTTACTTCCCAATTTACAGAACTGCACAAGAAAAAAAAACCAAACAATGTAATTTGACTGTTTGCAATGTCATTGAATTGGCATCAGTAACATTTTTGGGAAACACTGTGAAGAGAAATTGGAACTTGATGGGAGAATCAAATACTGCATTTCCTCATCTTATTCCTTAGGATCTTTCTTGAGTTCAAAGAATCTTTAGTCCTGCAGAAGCAAGCTTTTTTCTTCTGAAATGAGAGGCCACTTGTCTAGGGCTGCGTATTAGACGTGTACTATGAGCATACCAAAATAGAGACGTATTGTCTTGAATGATGCTGCTCATAGTGTTTGAGAGGATGCACTTCTCGGTGGTTCCTGCACTCCTCCTCTGTGTTCCCTTTTTGATCCTTGTGTTTGTAAGTAACAATCACTTGGCAAGTCCCAGACGTTGGAGTGAGTGTCTGGTGACAGATTGGATGTGTTACCGTTTCAGTCCCTGCATATGCTCATAGGAATCTTGTCCAAAAGGTAGCTCATTGTTTTGTTTGTACTTCTGCATTCCCGTTACCTAGCACAGCTGAGATGCCTTCCTTTTTCCTCATTTTATGATCAAAACATACAGTTAACTTTTTTAACTTGCTGCAGTAAAGACATCTCGCAGGCATTGCTGCATGTAGAAGAATTGGAACTGGAACTGCTTCGCAGCCAGGACTAAGTACACAGCATGACCTCTTCAAGTTTCTAACGACAAAGTTCCCTGTCTCCAGAGGAGGTCCGAGAAGGCAGACACAGGCACTGGTGCTTGAAGGCATTCATGCCTCTTCTTGTTTGCCTGCCTCAGAGTTTCTTATGACAGTTTGCTTGGTTACTATAACATTAACGATTGAACTTATAATTAAATAGTAACGAATCATGATGACTTACTATTTATTTCTTTTCAGTTACCCATGGATGTATAGTCTCCACAATCAAACTGTTTCTTCCAGATGGAATGGAAGCTCGATTGCGATCAGAGTAAGAATAAATATCCATTCATTTGTAACAAAAATAAACTACTATATAATGAGGATTTGATGGATATTCTGTTTAAAATCAGCATAGGAACATTTCTTTTCCTGCGGTCATGCAAAGAAAATAACTGAGAGCATGGTTCTTTTGCAGGCACTATGAAAAATAAATCTCATTTCCTTGTCACTGTTAGAAATTAAGGCAACTATGAAAGAATAAAAAAGTTCTATAAAATAATAAAGAAGTTCTTATCAAGTCGTGCTTTTCTTACTGGTTGTGGTTTAGTGTACTGGCATGTAGTACATATCACAAGAAAATACAGGAAAGAAGAAAGCAAATGAGCAAATCCTCCTTCTGTCTCCTTTTTTTATTTGGGATTATTATTTTTGTCCTTTGAATGCACGTAGACTGCACTAAAGTGAAGCTAATGGTGTCTCTGTGTGTGTACACATAACACTGTTTACTGTATTACTTATCTGAAGAATATAATGTGTCCTCGTGATACAGTTACTTGGTGTCACAATGAAAGAAATCTTTGCTTGGCATAAGGGAAAAAAGAAAAAAATCATAAAATATGTTGAATGGAATAATGTTTGGAAACTCGAATATTGAGAGGGTATTCTGTATATATGTGGAGAAAATTTCAAAGAGCAGGAGAAACAAAAAAAATGTGAACATTTTGTTTGTAGTAACTGAGTGTGAATTACAAATGACAGAATTTTAATTATCTTCCATCCCCAGCAATTGTATGTTTTTGATTGTTTATTTAAATATTCTTTTATTATTAGCATCCAGAAATATTTCATGATGCTTTAGGGTGTCTTTGCTTCTGGGAAGATAAGTCAAAATAAATTACTATGGGAAACTTTCAGTGTAACTGCATGTCCTAATAAGAAATCGTAGAAATGTACGGTGTTGCATTTTCATCAGAACTAAAAATTTAAGTATAGTATTTGTTCTAGTGAAAGTATACAAAAATCTGTAAGTTACCAAATATTATTTTACTCAGTTTGATGAATTTGTAAATGAGAGTAGTATATCCACTGTCTCTTCATATCTATTGTTTCATGCATGTAAATTGGTTTAAACCTTAATAAATTTAAGTTTTTAAAAAATAAAATATTGTGTAACTACTGAAATAAAAGTTGGTAAAGAGACTTTTTAGAATAGACCCTGGATTTATAATTTGAAAGTAATTCTGTAACTTTGAAAACATCACTCAACATAGTATTAACTGTCTTTGCATGTTTGTATATTGATTTTTCATTTTTATGTGAAGAATAAACTTAAAAATACGAAACATCTTGATTAAACACACAGTACTAGGGATCTTCTGGATTTTTCAACTGCTATTCTGCGCTTTGTGTTCACTTTTAAATTTTTTTTCTTTTAGTGTTATCCATGCTCCATTACCAAGTCCTGTTGACAAGGTAATTCAGTAATTTGCTGTTTTCTGCCTTATTCAACCACATGCTGTTTTCTGACTTGTTGAAGAAATGGTGAAGTCCAGTTACATTTAGTTGTGTTCTCCTCTGCCTATTTTTACCTGGTTTCATATTTTGAGTGACATTTGAGGTAGAGAAAGTAGTGCAGCATTGCAGTGTATGCTTTAAGGTAGCTTGATTTCTTACAGTGTGTCACCTGAAATGTGGCTTTGGCGGGGGGGCGGAAATTGATGTTAAGATGGCTAAATTTCCAGGTACAGGTTAACTGGCTAACAGGTCTTGGGTACTGCATAATTTGATACCTGATCTGTTCTGTGGCACCCAAGAGTAGCTTATGATTTGGTGTTTGGGTGAGGTCTGTTGTCCTTGTATCTTGTTTTTTATGGAGGAGAAGCTGCACTTGACAGGCTGGAAAGTGCTCTCACATGTTCCAGAGAAGATTGAGACCAGACCTCTCTGCTCCTCTTGTACAGCCAGAGTCACTCACTGTAGAGTCACGGAGTCAGTAATGTCTAGTGTAATTTTAAACTCAATTTTGATAATATTGACTTGTAGCAAAGCTGTTAATAGATACCCCCTTGAGACAAGTGACAGGAATTGATTGTCTGTCTAACCATGAAAAAGGAGGATTAACTTAAATATGTTTGAATCAGAATTTTAAATGTAAAGAACAAAATTTGGAGAAACTACGGAAACTTATTTGTGAAGTCAGCTACCTGAGGAGTTCATAGACTTTACATTTATGTTGTGGTTTCAAAACAGCCTATGTAGCTTGAATCCAGGGCAAGGGCAGACATTCTGAAGAGGGACTGCAGGTATAACTGTTTTTCAAACAGCTTCAAAAGTATGTCAGTGTAGGCAGAGCCTACAGGAATTAGTAAATAAACATGTTTGCCGCCCCCCTCCCAAGTCCATAACAGTTTCTGGGACTGGAGACAAAGTATAAAGTAAGACTTACCAAAAAATAGGCTTTGTTAAGCCTTGCAGTGGCAGTGACGCGGCGTAGTAAAACTTTAAATAAAAATCAAGGAAGGTGATGGTGCTAATGTACAGCCAGAACAGTTGTGATTAGAGATAACATAGGTATTCCCCAAATCTGAAACAGGTACTTACAAAGGGGAATGAAGAAGGTAATAAGTCAACAGAAAACATGCGATGAAGAGTGTGTGTGTGTGACGATGACATGGAATTGGAATATGAGAGACTTTATTTTCAATTCTGGAATCCTCTGATATCTGTTTGTCCTTGGGTTGAATGGCTTCAACTTTATGCACCTTGTTTCTTTGTCAGTTTAATATCAGCTGAAACAAAACCCTTAAACTCCTTGAACCACCAATGTGCCAGGAACTTGTAAGGACATTATCACAGTGGGACCTCAGTCCAGAGTTGAAGTTCTATGATTCTAAAAAAAAAAAAAAAAAAAAAAAAAAAAAAAAAAAAAAATAACAGGACAGTAAATGATTGAAAATGCTACTTGTTAGATAATCTTAAGACTACTTCCATGACTAGATTTAAGTTATTAATTTTGCATTACTTGAGTTTAATGAAAATCCAAACCCATTTTGATTCTTAAAGTCTTTTATTTTTCAGGTTGCTGCTAACACTCCCAGTATGTATTCTCAGGAATTGTTTCAGCTTTCACAGTATCTACAGGTAATTTGTCTGTTGACAGCGTTAGTTTGGCTAAATATTTCATCTTTTTTCAAAACACAGATCTTATGCTCTGTATATCTTTGGCTTGCATTTGTAAGCCAAAACATAATAAGCATTTAACTAGCTTTTTCTGTACTGAAATAATGTAAAACGTGTTGTAATTGGACATAGTATTGTTCTATGTGAACTTTTGGGGTATTGCATGAGCAGTATGAACTATGACTTCTATAAAAGAAACCTGAAAGCTCCCTTTTTTAATAGAAGGCTCCCTGAACACGATATATCTGCTTTTCCTGGCCTTTCTCCTCTCCTACTTCACTGTCCCAAACTTTTTTTTTCTCTCAATATTTTTGGCATCATCTGCTGCTGTGGATGTACTGTGTACACCTGTAAAAGTTTTGGCAGAACAGAAGAATGGCAAAACAAGAGATCATTTCATGTGTCAAGAACTAGTTGGTTTCTGTGAATATAATTTCTTAGTGTGAATATTTCTGTCCCTGTATTTATTGGAAAGTGTCAAGGATGGGACAGAGCTGGTAGCTTTTATTCCTCATTGTCATCCCCAGCCTTTCTGTGCCTGTTCCTGTGTCAGTTTTAATAGGTGTGTTTTTTTCCTAAGATATCATGTCACAAAAGGTTTAGACTGCAAAATGGCAAGACATATGTTATGTGTGTGCTAACATATGTAAAAAACTCTTTAGAAAGGATCATAAAATCAGCTTTCTGGGAAGGATGTGAAAACATTCTTGCTGGTAAATTCCATATAGCTTTAGTTTATGTATAGTTCTACTGACTTATTTTGCCTGTTTTTCTTGGGTAGTGGCAATTTTTATTTGTTCACATCAATGATGAGGCTTTTGAGACAGATACTAATATTATATGTTTTTGCCAACATAGCAGGAAGCAGCTCAGGCAGATGCTTTTTCTTGAAAGGCAAAATACATACTCGCTCACCAATCTGTTCATTCTCTGTGTCCTGGAATTGTTAACGAAGATGCTCTATCTTAGTGTCGTAAAACAAAAACAAAAATAGTAGTTCTTGCTTGGCATTTTTCTTTTGTGACCTGTTAACAGCTCATTGCATGGGAGCTGCCAAGCTGCCTTTTGGTGTTTTGAATTTTGTTACTCAAATTACTGATAAAAGTCTAAGTGTTTTTAAGTCTTGGAAAGAGTAACTCGTTACTATGAGTATTCAGCATGTGCAACATATGCATGAAAAATGAAGGTTTTTAGGATCCTGAGGTTATAGGATAACATTTTCTAATTAAAATAACCCAGGTAAGTGTATGGATGGACAAAATGGGATGGGCTGAAAGTTTTGAATGTGTGACAACACTTGCTACTCACCCTTCCATTTTTTCCCTGTATTTTATTATCTCTTATATTGCTTCTGTTTTTCTGAGTTGTAGCTCAACTGACTGGTGCTCTGCTCTCTCCTCTCTTCATAGGAAGCCTTACATCGGGAACAAATGTTAGAACAGAAGCTGGCAACCCTTCAGCGACTACTTGCTGTCACGCAAGAGGCTTCAGATACTAGTTGGCAGGTATTTGCAGGCATCCTTTTCCTCTATGGACTGAGATACGCAGTGGTGTATAAATTTTAGCTGTTAATTTATAAACAATGGGAAAGAAGCAGCAGAAGAAATTAAAAGCTTGTGGTGATTCTCAAACTGTGCAAAAAATAATTTTTAATACATTTAGTGTTTATGTACCAGTTTGAAATAACTGCTAGCAGTAAGTACTCCAATAAAATTAAAGTCTTTAAAGCAGAACTCTACTGGAACTACATAAAGCACGTGTTAATACTAAGGTAATACTTCTTCTCTGCTAGGCTTTAATAGATGAAGACAGGCTGCTATCAAGATTAGAGGTTATGGGAAATCAATTACAGGCATGTTCAAAGGTAAGTAGTTCACTTAAAGTTGAATATTAGGAATGCTGAAAGATAGCTCTTTGAAGTGTTTTGAAATTAGCTAGTTATACGAAAGCAGTTGGAACATAAACTTTCTGAAATAAGCCTGTGTAATTTTGTTAATCTGAATAGCAGGAAAACTGTAGATCTGTTCTGTATTTCATGGATTCACTTTAAATCTAGACAAATGGCTATTTTTCAGCATTTTGTATCCCAAATGGTTTCTTTTGTATATGCGTATAGATGTGTATATAATAAAATACAGAAAAGGAATTTCTGTCATTCATGAGAGGCAACCATTCTGTCCCATTTCCTACGGATGTTTCTTTCCAAATACGGATTTGAAAAAGGGCATTATCAATGAGCTGTCTGATATTCAGAGACAGAATAACAAGTATGCCCTGCCTTGATTGTTGTTTAGGCCACCTACGCCTGCCTTAAATTTTTATTTTTTATTTTATTTTCCTCTCAAGTGCCTACATTATAAGAACTTTTTTTGCAGGTCCTGTTTGAGGTCTTTCAGATGGGACCTTGTAGGTCTCTGGTTTCTCAAACTGTAGGTCTCCTAGGCTTCATGTTGTCTTAGCAGTGTCCAAAAACACCCCACAGTTTTCCTATAATCAAAGTTGATTGTTGAATGTATGCTGCCATACATACACTTCAAAAAATAACTGGTTTACACCCAGTCATGTCAAGGATCTTTGATCCCTGATTTATCTGTAACGTTTTCCTATCTACCAGAAATTGCTAAACATTTTGGAATAGAACAGGTCTTATCACAATCTAATATATTTAATCAGCAAAATACTTATTTATATTCTGTCTTTGTATCTGAATTATATGTACAGAATCAGACAGAAGACAGTATACGAAAAGAGCTTATAGCGTTACAAGAAGACAAACACAACTATGAGACAACAGCCAAAGAGTCCCTGAGGCGGGTCCTTCAGGAGAAAATTGAAGTGGTCAGAAAACTGTCTGAAGTGGAGGTACTGCAGTTTCATGCCTAGTCTACTGGAAATGCTGAAATATTTATAACTGCTGCTACTTAGATCCCTGTTTTGTTGCCTGTAATATGCCAGTATTTGTTGTATTGTGGCACTTGCAGTATATTTAGTAGTAGTGTTTGTTGCTCCTATTGGACAATACTTAAATTGTTAAAAGGTTAATGAGAAACTATACTTTAACCTTCTCCTTTTTCTGCTGGATTTCAAAATTCATGAAGCTGTCTTACAGAAGTTAGTATGTGTGAGAAATAAGTGAGGGGAAAATAACATACATACATTAGAAAAAATGCTGTTAGACCTTATTTAAACTGTAAAATTTATGGAAACGTAAGCTTAACTGCTTATACAAATTACACTTAAGAATGAGCTTTTAAGAATACAAAGTGTTGGACAACACTTCTTCAAATAAGACTTCTACCCCTATAATATCTCTCATTAATATCGTTTGATTTATTTTCTCTTTCCATTATAATTATTTGCTATGTTCCCTTGGATCAAGAAACATCATAAGACTTAAAATTAAGTGCTCAAAGCGTCTACCCTCTTCATGCTTTTCAGAGGACATGATGCATATAGTGCTGTAGTAAATAACCTTATGAGATTTCAGTTAAATACACCTTCTTATATTGTAATAGTTCTTGACAGGTTTATTAAGGTTGGAGTTTTATGTTTACTTCTAGCCTTCTTCTCCTTTCCAATCCTATACTAAGAGAAGAATCTTCTGACTTACTTATTATACTTTTTGCTCTTTACTTTGACTCTTGGGGCAGAAAAATTAATTTAGCTTTAGTAAGAGATTTGCTTGAGTGCTTCCTGCCACATACTTTCCTCTCCACACAGAAAAATCGTTGGCTCCTGGTTGAAAGTTTTCCTTTAAGTATTATGTAATGTAGTTTTGAATGCACTTCTGTTTAAAGGTGTTTTGGTTTGTTTTGGTGGTGAAGAACTAAGAGCTTTTTTTGTATGAATGAAGAAACAAATCTTGAGCTGTGAGCAGGAAACTCTATACACCATTTAGTTGTTCTGTTTATCAGCAGCTGATGTAAACTTCTGGATCATTCCTTGCCTCCTGAAGACACAGCTGCCCCTTGAGTAAGGGGATCTTAGTTTAGATGCCTTTCTACATTATGGAATTCAGAAAAAGATTTAGAACATTCCCTTGGAGCCATTTGGCTTATATAATGTGTTAAATCTTCTTTTAAGAAGGCTGAAGGCTTTTAAGCTGGCTGAAATGTATGATGAAATCTATCGATTACATTGAATCACAAGATACTATAAAACTTTCACAGTTTATCATAAAACAGAAGAAAATGAGGAAGATGGGGATCACATGTTTGGGTTCTTTATTCCTATCAATCACAATTAATTTTATAACCTACTGTACGTTTTTTGATTTGGGGTGGTTTTTTTACACATGCATGAAGCTAATATCTTTTCACATAATCTGTTCTTTATGTAGAACATTACAAAGGTTTGTATACATAGTGTTTTTGCTAGGACTTAATTAGCCTTAATGATTAATTATTAATGAATTAGACTTAATGATTAGGAGCAAAGCAGTTAAATATGATTAGTTACATATACTTTTTGGAAAAAATAGGTCAGCTTCAGTGTTTGGTAGGTTACTAGTCTCTGTTTTTTTATTTATTGCATAATAATTCTGTCTTACAGCGGAGTTTAAGTAATACAGAAGATGAATGTACTCACCTCAAAGAAATGAATGAGCGGACTCAGGAAGAATTAAGAGAATTAGCTAATAAGTACAATGGAGCTGTAAATGAAATTAAAGATCTTTCTGACAAGCTAAAGGTAATGACAGAACTTCATCTGGCTTATAATGATACTATAATGCATGGAACAAATAAATACAATTTAATTTCTAATGTAGCAATCAAGGGTTAAGAAACTTTTTTACACAACAGGTAAATGAAAGAAAGATGCGCATCATCTTTTACATATTCTTGTGGTTTACATTTAATGTACTTGAAAGTGTCATCAGTTAAGTAAATTGCTAAAAAGGTTCCCTTTTTGTTAATGAGAATGAAAACTAGAATTAGAAATAAATTTGCATTTCATGTTGCCTCTTTGTGCAGTTACAAACATACCTAGACTACCACATAGGTCCTTTGTGCTGAAGAACAAAGTAATCACGGTATGATAAAGCCTGTTCCCAAAGAGTCTCCAATCTAGATAAATAGCAGACGTGCAGGAGGAATGTAGTAGTGTTTTCTTTGTAGACCTAAGACAGTTGTTGCATTTGTCTTGGATAAATAGTGGAATTTGAACTTAGGTTCTTTGAGTCCTAGTTCAGCACCTGAGACAGATTTTTCTTTCCAAATTAAAATGTTAAATTGCTGGTCTGAAGACCATTGGTTTCCCAATTATGAGTTAATTACTGCTGCTGCTGAGTATACACAGAAAGATCAAAATTGAAACTTATTACCTAGTTTTGAAGGAGGAGAGTCTTTGAAACTTATTGTCATGAAATCCAGCAAGGAAAAAAATGTGGCTTTCAATCAACTTGGTCTGTGCAATGTACATTCAGTTCAGGAGGACTCTGGGGTTTTAAATGATTTGAGATGCTGGGAGACTTTGGGTGTTTCGTAGTTCTTGGACCCTGGTACTATTTCTGTAAAACTTGGGTTCCTCACACAAAAAGTTAGTTAAGATGTTTTGAGATTCTTTCTCCCTGTTCTTGTGCTTGAAGTGAAGTTTATAGAAAAATAACAGTAGAAGAATTTTGCATTGTTTCAATTTTCTTTATCTGACTCTAGCAAAGAAAGTTACTTATGTACATTTATTTATACAAAAATCAAGGAAATCTATTACTTTACCTGTTAATTTTGATTTGTTTGGGGATTTTTTTAATCTTTTTTGAGCAGGTAGCAGAAGGAAGACAGGAAGAAATCCAACAGAAAGGACTGGCTGAGAAAAAAGAATTGCAGCATAAAATAGACGAAATGGAAGAGAGAGAGCAAGAGCTTCAAGCAAAAATAGAAGCTTTACAAGCTGATAATGACTTCACCAATGAGCGGCTAACTGCTTTACAAGGTTAGTCACTAGTGGGGAAGAAACTTTGATTATTTTGTTTTTCTTTTAATCTGTGAAATATCTTTTTCTTGGACTTCTGTTTACAGTACGGTTAGAACATCTTCAAGAGAAAACTCTTAAAGAACACAACAGCTTAGGTAGGTGTGATCAGTTTCTTATTTCAAGCTGGTTTCCAGATTTTGTGTTCAATTATTTTTATTATAATAATCTTGTAGTCTAGGTGTCTGGCAAAAGAATAATATTTTACAGTTACCTTAGTACTGCATTGTTCCCGGTGTCACTTGTTACCACTGAAGGCCATGTGGCCACAACAGAATGCCAGTAGAGGGCACTGCCGTTGTGAGTGTTCAGACTTCTGGGTCATTGCTCAATTTAGAGCTCTGTTTGTACTCCCTCAGCTCCAAGATTTTGAAGGTTTTTGTATACATATTTATATAAAAGGATTTCACATATATATCTAGTAGGCCGTAATTCTTTGGATGATAGTAACCTCTTATATGTTTGAACAAATAGGAACATGATCTGTAGTGCAAGAAAACACATTAAATTTTGCCTGTTTTGATTAGACACTTTGAAGGAGGAGGTAGTATGAAAAGCCAGATGCATTTCACAGTGCTGTATTTATAAAGAAACAAAACCCAAAACATTTTGCTTGGTTTCAGAAATAATACCCTTTCTTAATCCTAGGCATACAAGTTGACGACTTCATACCTAAAATTAATGGGAGCACAGAGAAAGGTAGTGTATCTTAAGGCTACCTTTTGTCTTACGGTTGATGTTTGAAGATGAACAAATTCAAAATGTTCTCTGAAGTTTTACTTGAAATAACATTCTCTCAAAAAAGGAAATTGAATTTGTCCAGTCCTCTGACCAGCATTTTTTGCTTAGACTTTCAGTCTAGGTGTTTGTAGGAAGTTCTGTAAAAGGTAATGAGCCTGCTTGGAAGTCGTCTTTTTTTTTTTTTTTTTTTCTGCTTGTTTTTGGACTCTCACTGGAATCGATAGGAGTCTAATGAATGATGTCAGGTTTATGACGCAAGCAAGTGGAAAACTCATTGACTTTTTTCCTCTTAATTTTATTTTCCCTTACAATACAGACATATACCATTTTTCTAGTAAATTGGGTATGGTAAGTAAAGTCAGCAAAACTTTTTTTTCTAACTATAACATCTGAAAAATGTGAGTGTATGAAAGATATAAATCATGGAAACTAACTTTTTTAAAAACTCGCGAATGTCTTTATGTAAAACAGGAATGAATACAGCTTGAACTAGCTGATGGGTTTTTTTAAAGACCAGTTAGTTTAAGCGAAGTATTTTAACTAATGTGTCATAACACACAGTTGAAGATTTTTAATAAAGTTGTCTGATAAAACTATGTCCAATATCACATATAGCAAAGATTATTCCGGTTATAATTCTAAATTCACTAAATTGTTCCATTGGCTAAGATGTGTAGATATGTTTGTCCTCTTACATTAATTTTAAATTAAAGCTTTCTTAGGCATTTGCTGTGCCTTGCTAGATAGCTCTGAGATATTGTGGTAGTATTAGTTGGAAAGTTGGGGCACTTCTAAAAGAACTCATGGTTTTAACTAATATTCACAGTGTTTAAGAATTACTGTATGTGTTTTTGAAACAAAATTCTAAAACTCTCCATGCTGTAATTCTTAGCTCTTTACCTTTTTTTGTATTATAAATGAAGAGCTTCTTAACTAGGGAGACCAATAGCGAAGTCAAAGTAGTTAATCATGGCGTAACCTCATGTCTCTCTGTTATTTGGAGCAGGAGGAGAGGTCTGTTAAATGCTGACAGGAGCTGTTCAAAAACCTCCCCTTAATCTAAGTGCTAGATATCCCTTAATGTCTTAGTGTTTTAGGCACTTAGCTATGACGCATGCTGAGACTAGCAAGCAGGGGACTTAATGTCTGTTCCCAGTTGTCTGGACTGTCATACTTTGTTTTTAGATAGATTCATCTTGCTGATGCATAATTTTAGGTTGGTAATACTCTTAATGCTTGATAGAATGGTTAAGACGTAAATTTACTTTTAATTTTTTTAAATCTTCCACCCCAGGAAACAATTAACTTCTTTACAAAGCAAAACTGAGGTACTCTATAGGGATTGTGGTTCTTCATTCTAATCATATAAACTGTAAAAAGACTTTGAAAATTAGGTTGTTGAAGATTATTGGAAAAACTTGCAATACTGTGAACAAAAGTAGCATAGAGCTAAATTGAAACGTTTAGTAAAAGTTTTCAAGTTTCGAGTGCAAATACGTATTCTTTTAGAGAAATACTTCGTAACATCACACTAAATAGGATGTTTTTAAAACAAACAGGTTGTTTTGTTTGTTTTAAAATTGTTGTGAGGAATGTCCTGCTAGTTTTTTTTAAGACTACTCTCTTATCACCCTGAGTTTAAAAATTGTCTGAAATACTATTTCAAATTTGAGTTCATTATTATGTGAAAATACAACAAATATTTTTATATCACTGATACTCACTTTTTTGTCAAAGTTGAAGAAGCAGTCCCTTTTTGACTTATTTTGGATTGCATAAGAGTCAGAATGTCATCTGGATGGATGCATGAAAATAGAGATTCCTCCATCCTATGAGTAACAGTAGAACTTGTGCTTAAACCTGGGAGTTTTAAGAAGCTGTCTGCCAATTTTTTCATTATGAATATAGACAACATGAAATTGCTTATTCAACATTGTGTGTTTATACAGTATATCATCTTTTTCTGTCGTGCATCTCCCATGCTATTTTGTTATTCTATATTTTAGTGTAGTTTTCCATGTTTTCCATTAATCTGTTATACCACATTCTTCTGCATCTCTGCTATACTTGGTTCATCCACATTGCTTTGGCGTTTTAGAGCTTGCTGGCCTGTGTTCTCTCCGTGACAGTCTGTGCCTTTCTGCATCTTCCTGTCCTTTATCTAGCCCTCATATAATGACAGATGGGCTGTAACTTTCTTTGCCAGATTTTGGATTTTGTTCTTTTGAAAGCAGCAGGAGGCAGTTACTGTTATTTTTGCCGAGTAGTCTTGCAATTTTAGAAGAGCTAAGAATTTAGGGGTTATAATGTAGATTCAGCAACTTTGGCAGTGAAAGAGGTTGTAGATACTTTACATCAGGGAAAGACTTCACAGTTGAAGGCAGAAGTCAGAAATTCAAAATATTGGTTCTTTGTGCTAAATAGCCTGTAAGGGAATAAAAAAAGTCTCCTCTGTCTGTATACAAAGGTATTCATATACATCTACCCCACCTCACCCCCAAGAGCAAAATGGTAGTAAAACCCTGTAAAATCAGTATGCTTTTTAAGATTCCTGTTGTCTGTCTGTCTCAAAACTTCAGGTCAAGGTCTGTTTAGAGGCGTACTACTTAGCTGTCGCAAGAATAAGGATTTTACATTACTTTTTTTTGTGGCTGTCCATAACTTTAAAAGAGCCATACTTCGAGTAGAGGAACTAAGAACTCATGCTTTAGTCTCTCTTGAGTCTTTTTATAACGAAGTGTATTAAGGTGATGATGGTTAAGCATTCATTTTGTCTCATTGCCCATATGGAAATTCTGGTGCAGAAGAGAGTAACTTGCTTAATACTTCATGCCACTGTTAAAGGTTGTGTAGAACTGCGGTACTGCCATAAGTGGTGTATTTCTCAGTGAGTTGCTCCACACCTGGCTTTCATATTTAAGTTCTGTGAGCCAGATATTATATAAAGAAAGACAGGAGAAATTTGTGTAAAGTCATTTAGAGGATCATGTTAAAAGGCTAAAAAAAAAAAAAGTTAAATACAGAAAATAAATGTTATAGGCATTGTGCTGTCTTTTAAAAGCCTTGTCCTTGTGGGTTAGGAAAAAAGTTTACTTTCTAAAGTAAGTCTGAAATACAGTAAAGCTTAGTGTTATGTATTTGATCTTAACAGCTAAGTTTCTGATATCAGAAGCTAATGAATGAACAATTTTGTTAGAATGTAACACAGTTTGCTAGTTTGTGAAATAAAGAGCAGTCTTTTCAGATTGCTAGACTCTTGAGGTCAAAGGATTTTTGAGGTTCTTCAGAAAGGAAGTGTTAGCACCTTTTTACTTGAAGAGGTTCAAGACTCTGATTGAGTTGGGAGCTGAACAAGGTCACATAGAAGGACTTGGGTAAACCTGAGAATTGAGCCCAGTTTTAGGGTCTCTACTGCAGAACTGTCCTCCTTTCAAAAATTGTTGTTTCAGTGCAGTGAAATTTGTTTTAAAATTAAAGGGAGATACTTAGCAAGACTTTTAAAATAAACCTTTTTGCATTTCAAGAGGGTATAGATACCTAGATACAAAGAATAAACATGAAGACTAAAGAAAAATTATTAAATGGCCTTTTAAAGCTTATAAAAACTGCTGAAGAATATACGTTAAATACATGTTTCTTATTTCTTCAATGCTTGGATTTGGTATTTGCATTATCCCTGTCTGATTATGAATTAACAAATGGGTGGAAGTAGAGAGATCAGTGCTATAGAGTTGCATGTTTCAGTATTGTATCATCTTATGTATTCTGAATTTATTGTGATTTAAATATCACTTATGTGCATTAATCTTTTTGTCAAAATTATGAAGTTGTCAATGGAAACTTAGTGGAAGTCATTTGTCACCACCTAACCTGAATGACGACTAGAGCAAATGCCGAATGCAGAATGTTTGGACTTTTAGTAATTGTTTTTTATTAAATTTTGTTAAATAAAGGGTTTTTTTAAAAATAGCTTCTATTGAGGTAAGGGGCTTTTTATTATTCTTAAGAACTGCTATTAGATTTTTTTAGTATTGAAAAGTACCCTTTGAAAAACACAGTTAAAGTACTTTCTTCTGATCAGTTCAAGAGAGTAATCTATTTTCTAATATCACTCAGACATCATTTCAATTACATGTCTTGTCTGCTTGCATATTAATTCAGATTTCAAAAGTTCACTGTAAATACACAACTACAAATATTGTTAATATATCTTTCAAATTTTTTGTTGCATCAATTTGAAAATGATAAGAAGATGTAAACTTCAGTGTTTCTTTCTTTACTAGAGCACTTTCTTTCAAAGAGTGGAGGGGACTGCACTTTTATTCATCAGTTCATAGAATGTCAGAGTGAGTACAAGAGTGTTCATCACATTTGCTTTAAAAACACAGAAAACCCGGAAAAGGTGGATAAAAACCAGAATTTGTCACTACAATTTACTATTTCTGTAGTAGCAGAAATTTTCTGAGCATAGAATTGTGGCATTGTGATGTTAAGCAGATGCCTGTAGTAGTAAGAGGAAACCTTTGCTCTTGCAAAGCAATGATCAGTTAATTCATTATTGTCCTCAACCAGTAAAAGCAAGTAACAGGTACCAGTAAAATGGTAATGTTGCCACATGTTTCAAACTGAGTGTAATTTTTCAACTGTTAAAGTAAGAAGTTGAAAGCCTGAAACTGTCAGTTCAAGCAAACATCATGGCAGCAGTAGGACAAAGAGAAGGTAATGACGCCTTTTCTTCATTTCACATGTCTAGAATTTATCTGATAATTAAAGGTCTTACACATTCTTCAAATTAGTTATTATAAAGAACAAAAAGGAAAACAAGACCATCATTTTTATGTGGAGATTTAAGAGATTCTTTTAAGAAAAATATAACAAATACGCAATACCAATCTTTAGAAAGATGTGTTATTCTGGAATGAGAAACATGTTTTTCAAAGCAAATGGCTTTTGAAAAT